ACCAGTTAGTTCATTATCGTGTGTCATTGTACCACGAATCACCTTCTATAACTGTTCACCTAATATCTATACCTGGTGTGGCTTCGTCAGTGAGTCAGTCAGTCAGTGAGAGAGCTTTGTGTGTCGTTCTTCCACTAATTAACGAGTGAGAGCATTAGCTGATTAAGTTACGATAGACTCTTAGTGTTTAGGAGTTGTTGACACATCTAGGTAGCCAACGTGTAGGAACCATTCACACACACACACACATACACACACATACACACACACAATATAAAAATGTGTGTGTGTGTGTGTGACTAAGTTAACACAAACACTTAGGGTCACGTTTCTGTTATAGTGCTGAACTAATATATATATATATTTTTTTGGACAATTGTTCTCCGTAACGTCTCACTTCCTTTGCTATTAAGTCATCATTATCGTCATCACCGTCCGCTACGCCTTCAGGAGCGACTGGCTGGCGTGGTGTACTCTGCGGACATATCCCTCGCTATTTCAATTGTTTTCACACTCATTCCCTCACCGCTGGCGCCGTAACCTAGTTCAAGGTCCAGCCTCTGTGTGTGTGTGTGTGTGTGTGTGTGTGTGTGTGTGTGTGTGTGTGTGTGTGTGTTTTTCTTAAGTTCTTGTTGCCTGCTGCCTATGCTTACCCATTTTACACCTTCTTTTTTCTTCTTCCTTTTCTTCCTTTCTTCTTCGTCTTCTTCTTCTTCGTCTTCTTTTTCTTCTTCTTCTTCATCTTCTTCATCTTCTTCTTCTTCTTCTTCTTCGTCTTCTTCTTCTTCTTTTCGTCTTCTTTTTCGTCTTCGTCTTCGTCTTCTTCTTCTTCTTCTTCGTCTTCTTTTTCTTCTTCTTCTTCTTCGTCTTCTTTTCATCTTCTTCTTCTTCTTCGCTTCTTCTTTCTTCTTCTTCTTCTTCTTCTTCTTCTTCTTCTTCTTCTTTCTTTCTTCTTCTTTTTCGTCTTCGTCTTCTTCTTCTTCATCTTCTTCATCTTCTTCATTTTTCTCTTCGTCTTCTTATTTTTCTTCTTCGTCTTCTTCTTCTTCTTCTTCATCTTCGTCTTCTTCTTCTTCGTCGTCGTCGTCGTCGTCGTCGTCCGTCTTGTCGTCGTCGTCCGTCGTCGTCGTCGTCGTCGTCGTCGTCGTCGTCGTCGTCGTCGTCGTCGTCCTGTCGTCGTCGTCCTGTCGTCGTCGTCGTCGTCGTCGTCGTCGTCGTCTCGTCGTCGTCGTCGTCGTCTCGTCGTCGTCGTCGTCTCGGTCGTCGTCGTCGTCGTCGTCGTCGTCGTCGTCGTCGTCTCTGTCGTCGTCGTCGTCGTCGTCGTGGTCGTGTCGTCGTCGTCGTCGTCGCTCGTCGTCGTCGTCGTCGTCGTCGTGGTGTTTGCCTTAGTTATTATGTTTCTCTCTCATCAAGATGTTGTATAAGTTTTTGTTTTGTGTTTATTTTGTTTGTTTATCTTGGTGAGTTAGTTGTTGCGGCCGTGTGTGTTATATCTTAGATACTTGGTAAACAAAGACTCAGTTTGTGTTTTTAACACTGAATTAGAGGATATGATTGTTTCACAAAACTGTGTTGTTGCTTGTAAGGCAGCCAAAGAAGAGAAGGAAAATATTAATATGGAACAGGCAGTTGTGCTTCATGTTGCAGAGTTGCATTACATGGTCGAGGGAGCCCATTGGCAGCCCCGGGCGACTATACTAACAGCAGACAAGTGGTGGGTGACGCCCTACTGAGCACACCTTTGATCTGCTGCTCGGCTGACGTAGGTAACTTGTGGCGAGTGTGTCGTGGTGGCGGCTACCGTGGCCCGGTGCTGTAGCTGGGCCAACCCCGCCTATGGTGGACATGAAGCAATCATTCCTGATTATTGGTGTGTGAACATGTTGTTGTGTGCTGTGAACACCCTGGCTGCTCTGATACAGCTTACGACCCAGGGTGAAGCGAGTGTGACGAGGGAGGTTTGCCCGACGACGGCGACGACGACGACGACGCAGTAGAGTCAACACCTTCAGCAGAATGATGTTGGTCCCCGGGGCGAGCCTGGCAGCAGGCGGCTGCAGCTCGCACTCCAGAAAACAAGTTGTTTGGGGGAGGAGCGGCGCCCTGCCCAAGTGATGGGTCGCCAGGGACCTTCAGCAGCGTCTCTCCCGCCACCAGCACCTCTCCTCCTCCACCTCCCACCTCCTCCACTACAGGGAGATATAGATGGTTGGGGAGGAGGGGGGAGGGGTGATAAGGGCTGCGCACCATCTGGATTAAGACTTAATGTGTATTAACCAGTGTGTAGCAGAGGAGCATTTAGTCTCGCTTGTATTTTGTCACCTTAGCTACAGGACTGTCACACAACCTCAGGAGAAAGAGTCAATTAGAGGCAGAGTGGTGGGGGAGGCCCTCAGCACCGGGGCCCGACTCATCAGGTTCTTAATCATTCACCGAACACCTCAGCGAGTTACTCAGTATGTACACTGATGGCAACAAATAAACATCATAAGTAAAGGAATATGAGTTTAATAATGAGAGTAAGTAAGGCATGATGAGTGTGGTGGTGAGAGGCTCCGGACACCTGTTGCTCCTCACCGCCTCCCCTCTCCTCCCTTTTCGTCACCGCCGCCGCCTGGGTCCCCTCGCAAGTTGGGTGTTGCTCAAACAACGCCGTTTACGTACCTCTTATTGCATTTCAAACTTTGCAGAGGAGCGTGGTAGTTGCCGTGGGTCGCCAGGCGGGGGGCGGGCGGTGGTGTCTGTCTGGCAGCGTTTGGCCGGCCCTCCCGCCCTCCATGACACATACGCACCAGACACCTAGTGAGGCCTTACAACAAGATTTAATATAAAGCAAATGGAGGGATGATGATGTGTCCGTCTGTGATACAGCCAGGAGTGTCTGGGGAGGGCAGGGGAGGGGAGGGCAGGAGAGGGGAGAGACACTGTGCTACACCCTGGTGCCTGTCTGGACGGCCTGTTGCTGCTCACGCCCCGCCCCGCACCCTCCCCTGCCCTGCACCCTCCCCCCGCCCTGCACCCCCTCCCCCGCCCTGCACCCCTCCCCCTGCCTGCACCGCCCCTCCTCTCTCGCCCAGCACTATAAGAGTTTGTCTTGCTCATTCTTTTGAAACTTTTAATTGCGTAGAGTAAATTACATCAGTAAAAAGGCTTGAGTGTATTTTATAGCTGTTCTCAAGATGGGGTCATGTTACCGTGTGTGTTGCTGTCACGGCGGGCAGGTGTGAAGTGTAGCCCTGTGTGTCGCTCCATCACCCTGGGGTCGCTACAGTAACAGCCATCAACCGAGCAGTGGATCCGTCTGTACACACGTCTGGGGAAAAGACTCTTATCTACTGAACTTAAAACTCTTCACCTTTGATTGGTCCAGAGGTGTGAGGTCATTGTTTTTCTGACCTTCGATTGGTCCAGAGGTGTGAGATCATTGTTTTTTTCTAACCTTTGATTGGTCCAGAGGTGTGAGGTCAGTGTTTTTCTGACCTTCGATTGGTCCAGAGGCGTGAGGTCATTGTTTTGTGAACCACATGACCGTTTGTTTGTGTAGTTAGTAGCAGTTGTTAGAGCGAGGGATTCTGGGTAATAATTGGTGTGTCCTTTACACTGTGTTCTGAGAGTGTTAGGTTAGGTTAAGTTAGGTAAGGTTAAGTTAGGTTAGGTTAAGTTAGGTTAGGTTAGGTTAGGTTAGGTTAGGTTAGGTTAGGTTAGATATGTTTTTTGGCCGCGTGAATGACCCTCAATATTACGGGATCATTTAGGTTTAATCTATCAGTAATTACCTCGTTAATAACACTGCTATTATTTGTATTAAGTCAGCATTAAGTTTCCTAAGGACAGTGTTAATAAGATTTCATCAGTCTTAGGTAATAATACTTGTTGAATGAAGGTCTTAACTGTGGTGAGGGGCAGATGGGGAGGGGCAGGATAGAGGGGACGGGGAGGGGCAGGGTGAAGTGAGACGGGGAGGGGCAGGGTAGAGGGGACGGAAAGGGCAGGGGGGAGGGGACGGGGAGGGGCAGGGTAGAGTGGGACGGGAGGGGCAGGGTGGAGGGACGGGGAGGGGCAGAGATAGTGGAGACGGAGAGGAGCAGGTGAAGGAGACGGGGAGAGGCAGGTAGAGGAGACGGAGAGGAGCAGGGTGGAGGACGCGAAGGGCAGGGTAGAGGGGACGGGAGGGGCAGGTGAAGTGAGACGGGGAGGGGCAGGGTAGAGGAGACGGAGAGGAGCAGGGGTGGAGGAGACGGGGAGGGGGTAGAGTGGGACGGGAGGCAGGGTGAAGTGAGACGGGGAGGAGGGGAAGTAGACGAGGGCAGAGAGAGGACGGGAGGGGCAGGGAGAGGGACGGGGAGGGGTGGTGTAGGAGTGTTGAGAGGGCGTGTGATACAGTGTATCATCCTGACCATGGAGTCCTACAGGTGTGTGTGTGTGTGTGTGTGTGTGTGTGTGTGTGTGTCGTACCTTAGTGCAAACAATATCAAAACAAACAAACAACAACAACAACTCGACTTGGAAGTTTAGCAAAGAAAAACCGTAATACAGGCGAGAGAGGAAGCGACACACACACACACACACACACACACACACACACACACACACACACACTCTTATTTACATATCCATCTAATCAGGCGGCTGTGTGCAGGTCTAGCCGGCGGGGAGATAACTGTGGGCGAGAGGGCCAGTGAGGGAGAGAGGTGGCCATTGAGAGAGAGAGAGGGCAGAGGAGAGAGGGCCAGTGAGGGAGAGAGGTGGCCAGTGAGGGAGAGAGGTGGCCAATGAGGGAGAGTAGCTGTAAGTGGGGGGTGGGGAGGGGTAGGGAAGTGAGGGGCCCATATAGGGGGGGTAAGAGGTGGCCAGGAACACGTGGGAGTGGCAGCGTCGCACCAGAGGTAAACAACTTTCACCCAAACAGTTTGCACAAATTGCCGGAGTTTTCTGCATGACACAAACATGAGCCATGCAAATTATGTGTGCTGCTCGCACGGAGACCCGGTGCTTGAGTGCTACAGGAATACCCGTGAGCGCTTGATTAAAATGACGACACAAGTGCTTGTTTTCTTGCCTTGTTGGTCACGGTGTCTGCATGCATGACGGGGTGTCTGGCATGCATGACGGGGTTCTGGCATGCAGGGTGTGGCATGCATGACGGTGTCTGGCATGCACACGGGTGTTTGGCATGCATGACGGGTGTTCTGGCATGCATGACGGGTGTCTGGCATGCATGACGGGGTGTCTGGCATGCATGACGGGGTGTCTGGCATGCATGACGGGGTGTCTGGCATGCATGACGGGGTGTCTGGCATGCATGACGGGGTGTCTGGCATGCATGACGGGGTGTCTGGCAGGCGACGGTGTCTGGCATGCATGACGGGGTGTCTGGCATGCATGACGGGTGTCTGCATACATGACGGATGCTTCTGGCATGCATGACGGGTGTCTGGCATGCATGACGGTGTCTGGCATGCATGATGCGTCTGGCATGCATGACGGGGTGTCTGGCATGCATGACGGGTGTCTGGCACACATGGCGGGTTGCCTGGCAGCATGCCGGGGTGTCTGGCATGCATGACGGGGTGTCTGGCATACATGACGGGTGTCTGGCATGCATGACGGGTGTCTGGCATACATGGCGGGTTGCCTGGCACACATGACGGGTGTCTGGCATGCATGACGGGGTGTCTGGCATGCATGACGGGGTGTTCTGGCATGCATGACGGGTGTCTGGTACATGACGGATGTCTGGCATGCATGACGGGGTGTCTGGCATGCATGACGGTGTCTGGCATGCATGACGGGGTGTCTGGCATGCATGACGGTGTCTGGCATGCATGACGGGGTGTCTGGCATGCATGACGGGTGTCTGGCACACATGGCGGGTTGCCTGGCATGCATGCCGGGTCTGGCATGCATGCCGGGGTGTCTGGCATACATGACGGGTGTCTGGCATGCATGACGGGGTGTCTGGCATGCATGGCGGGTTGCCTGGCACACATGACGGGGTGTCTGGCACGCATGCCGGGGTGTCTGGCATGCATGCCGGGTGTCTGGCATGCATGACGGGGTGTCTGGCATGCATGACGGGTGTCTGGTATGCATGACGGGGTGTCTGGCACACATGACGGGGTGTCGGCATGCATGACGGGGTGTCTGGCACATGACGGGGTGTCTATGCATGACAGGGTGTCCGGCATGCATGCCGGAGTCTGGCATGCATGACGGGTGTCTGGCATGCATGACGGGGTGTCTGGCACGCATGCCGGGGTGTCTGGCATGCATGACGGGGTGTCTCGCATGCATGACAGGTGTCTGGCATGCATGACGGGTGTGCATGCATGACAGGGTGTCTGGCATGCATGACAGGTGTCTAGCATGCATGACAGGTTTTGGCATGCATGACAGTGTCTGGCACACATGCCGGGGTGTCTGGCACGCATGACGGGGTGTCTGGCATGCATGACAGGGGTGTCTGGCATGCATGACAGGGTGTCTGGCATGCATGACGGGGTGTCTGGCATGTGACAGGGTGTCTGGATGTTTAGTATGTGACAGGTTCGCTGGGGAGAGGCAGTGTGTGGGTGTGAGGAGGCAGTGTGTGTGTGTGTGTGTGAGGAGGCAGTGTGTGGGTGTGTGGGGAGGCAGTGTGTGTGTGTGTGAGGCCAGTGTGTGTGGGTGTGTGAGGAGAGGCAGTGTGTGTGGGTGTGGGGAGGGGGTGTATGGGTGTGAGGGGCAGTGTGTGGGTGTGAGGAGGGCGGTGTGGGTGTGAGGGGGCGGGTGTGTGGGTGTGGGGAGGCAGTGTGTGGGTGTGGGGGCAGGGGTGTGTGTGGGTGTGAGGAGGCGGTGTGTGGGTGTGAGGAGGAGGGTGTGTGGGTGTGAGGCGGTGTGTGTGTGTGATGAGGGGGGCAGTGTGTGTGTGTGATGAGAGGCAGTGTGTGGGTGTGAGGCAGTGTGTGTGGGTGTGGGGAGCAGTGTGTGGGTGGGCAGTGTGTGGGTGTGAGCAGTGTGTGGGTGTGAGGAGAGGCAGTGTGTGGGTGTGGGGCAGTGTGTGTGGGTGTGGGGCAGTGTGGGTGTGAGGAGAGGGCAGTGTGTGTGTGTGTGAGGAGGCGGTGTGTGTGGGTGTGAGGAGAGAGGCAGTGTGTGGGTGTGAGGCGGTGTGTGGGTGTGAGGAGAGGCAGTGTGGGTGTGAGGGCGGTGTGTGGGTGTGAGAGCAGTGTGTGGGTGTGAGGAGGCGAGTGTGTGTGTGTGTGAGAGGCAGTGTGGGTGTGAGGAGGCAGTGTGTGGGTGTGAGGAGCAGTGTGTGGGTGTGGGAGAAGCAGTGTGTGTGTGTGTGGGGAGGCAGTGTGTGGGGTGTGAGAGGCAGTGTGTGGGTGTGAGGAGAAGCAGTGTGTGGGTGTGAGGAGAAGCAGTGTGTGGGTGTGGGGGCAGTGTGTGTGGGTGTGTGGGTGTGAGGAGCAGTGTGGGTGTGAGGAGGCAGTGTGTGTGTGTGTGTGTGTTGAGGCAGTGTGTGGGGTGTGAGGAGAGGCAGTGTGTGTGGGTGTGAGAGGCAGTGTGTGTGTGTGTGGGTGTGAGGCAGTGTGTGGGTGTGAGGCTGCACAACACACAGTGGAAGGATGAAGGCGACAGGTGATAGCCAGGTGGTGTAGCCTCCCCGCCCTTGGGACGTGGCCGCCTTCAGGAGCCCCCGTCAGATAGAGAGAGAGAGAGAGACAGACGACCCTGCACGTCTTCATCACCTGGTGGCCAGTTGACTACACGTATATCACACACTGTCCCTGGGAACCGAACTGGTAGACGAAAACTTATGCTCTCAAGTCTTTTCATTCCGATACATTTATGAAAATATAATTATGGCGTGAAATTCTTGGCACAAAGCTTCTGCGCCACTATCCTCCGTAGGTTATGTTAAGTCATCCTGGCGGTGTTCGAATGTCTGTATACCGCGTGTCCTCCCGTGTCCTTCTACCCTGAAAACCTTCCTTAATACGCACTGGTATCTCCCTCTCTCTCGTGGGATGTCCTTCAGAGTATAGACGGATGGCAGCTTCGTATTCACCATCCATCGCCTACCTTCGTTACGCAGTAGTTCGTGTTTAATGACGTACGTTACGTAATTCGTGGTGTCGGAAACGGAGGCTTGTGACGTCAGAGGTAGCCGGGGCTTGCAGAATGGCCCCCGACAAGATAATAGTGATGATAATGACCAGATCAAACCTGACGAGATAATTGATTCAGCCCCGTCACTTCTCCTCACCCAGCCAGCCGCCCACCCTCTCCTCACTCACCCACCACTCCTCTCCTCCACCTAGCCAGCCCAGCCCACCCTACTCTCACTCACCCACCCGCCCACCCTCTCCCTCACCTATTGACCAGCCCCACCACTCCTCACCCAGCTACCATTTTCTCACCACCACCCAGCGCCCACCACGGAGAGAGAGAGAGAGAGAGAGAGAGGGGCTGTAGCTATAGATGAACGTTCTCATAGCGTCAGCCAGTTGTCAGCCCACCATCCAGCCAGTTGTCAGCCCACCGTCTGCCTGTTCCTCTTCCTGTCCTCCTACCTTCCTCTTCCTTGTCCCCCTACCTCTTCCTCTTCCTTGTCCTCCCTACCTGTTCCTCTTCCTTGTCCTCCTACCTGTTCCTCTTCCCTTGTCCTCCCTACCTTTCCTCTTCCCTGTCCTCCCTACCTGTTCCTCTTCCTTGTCCTCCTACCTGTTCCTCCCCTTGTCCTCCCTACCTGTTCTCTTCCCTTGTCCTCTTCTTTCCTTGTCTCCTCCTCTTCCTTGTCCTCCTACCTGTTCCTCTTCCCTTGTCCTCCCTACCTGTTCCTCTTCCTTGTCCTCCTACCTGTTCCTCTTCCTTGTCCTCTACCTGTTCCTCTTCCCTTGTCCTCCTACCTGTTCCCTTGTCCTCCTACCTGTTCCTCTTCCCTTGTCCTCCTACCTGTTCCTCTTCCCTTGTCCTCTACCTGTTCCTCTTCCTTCCTCTCCTACCTGTTCCTCTTCCCTTGTCCTCCTACCTGTTCCTCTTCCCTTGTCCTCCTACCTGTTCCTTCCCTGTCCTCCTACCTGTTCCTCTTCCCTGTCCTCCTACCTGTTCTAAGATGTTGACAAAAAACAGATTTAATATTTAGAGGAAGGGCGTGGTTAAACAGGGAGGGGCGTGGTTAAACAGGGAGGGCGTGGTTATACAGGAGGGGCGGTTATACGGGAGGGCGTGGTCAAAGATGGGCGTCACGGGTTATAATGTTGTTCATGGCGGTCATAAGGGCGAGTGTTGTAGTTCGCATACATACAGTGAATGACTCTATATCACTAATGAATAACATGTATAAATATGTATCTCTTAGGTATATGTAATACATTTATCTCTTATATTTAACAAAAATATTATCATAAACCTAACCTAAACCTAATCTAAACCCAATCCAAACTCAACCTAAAACCTAACCTAACCTAACCTAACCTAATCCCAACCTAACCCAACCCAACCTAACCTAAACCCAATCCTAAACCTAATCTAACCTAACCTAACCTAACCCAACCTAAACCCAACCTAATCCCAACCTAACCCAACCTAACCTAACCTAAACCCAACCTAAACCTAATCTAACCTAACCTAACTCTAATCCCAACCTAAACCTAACCTAACTCCAAACCTAACCTAACCTAAACCTAACCTAACCTAACCCAACCTAAACCTAACCTAACCTTAACCTAACCTAACCTAACCTAAACCTAACCCCTAACTCCAACCTAACCTAACCCTAACTCCAATCAACCTAACCTAACTCCTAACCCAACTCAATCCCTAACCCTAACCTAACCTAACCTAACCTAACCCCTAACCTAACCTAACCTAAACCTAAACCTAACCTAAACCTAACCCCTGTAGTGACATTCTTCTGCGTCGTAGTATATTTAAATAATAATAAACAGGTAGATTAATTACTATGTTTTTTTCTCACCTGTTATCGTCTTCTTTGCAGGTAAGGACTGTACAGTATGTTACGGCTACTTCTGACGGGGAGATCCTCGAGGGCTGCTACTGCTCCACGTCAGTACCTCAAGGTTAACTTAGTCTGGTAGTGTGTGTGTGGTGTGTGTGTGTGTGTGTGTGTGTGTGTGTGTGTGTGTGTGTGTGTGTGTGTGTCCCCCAGCATTTCTGCCACATGATAGCCTCTGGAGACCAGCTCTGGGGAACAGGGGGTATTCTTCGTCTCGTGTGAATGGTGGTGATTAGCTGGTGTGGGAGGAGGGGAGAAGGGGGGTGTGGGAAGGAGGAGGAGGAGAAGGGGGTGTGGGAGGAGGGGCAGGTCATCTCTCTCTCTCTTCTCTCAACAATTTATTTCAAATGCGTAAAAGACATGTCGGTAATTTTTGGTTTTGTATTTTCATAATTAGCAGAATGATCTCCCCTCCCCACCCCCTCTCCTCACCCCTCCCTCCCCACCCCCCTCCCTGAACTAGAGCGTGATAATCCCAGGATGAAGTGTGGCAGGGTCTTCAAAGGCGACAGAGAAGTCCTAGGGGAAAAATATTCCTGGGTCTGGTCAATCAAACCTTAATCCCGGGTTACAAAGTTACTATTATATGGGGAGGGGGCAGAGGGGAGGGCACAGAGGAGGGGCAGGGGGGAGGGAGCAGAGGGAGGGGCAGGGAGAGAAAAGGTGCATAGAGGAAAGAGAGGGGCAGAGAGAGAGAAGAGGAAAGGGCATAGGGGAGACGAAAGGGACAGGGGAGGGGAGAGAGAGCAGGAAGGGAGGAAGGGGCTGGGGAGGAGGGAGCAGAGGGAGGAGATAGGTGGGGGCAGGGGAGGGGAGAGGGGCAGAGGGGAGGGAGAGGATGGAGCAGAGGGAGGAGATAGGTGGGGGCAGGGGGAGGGAAAAGGTGAAAGAAAGAGGAAGTGGTAAAAGGAAGGAGGAGGAAGAAGAAGGTGAGAGTAGGCCTCATAGGAAGATATAAAGGTTAGGGAGATGATCTACTAGTTATCTCAGAGGCTTTGGGGAGCATATTGTAATGGTTCTTGGGAGCATATATTG